AAAATAGATGGTATAAACCTGAGGAAAAAAACCACAGGAAGCAGTATACAAACAACAGTTTTCCTGATTCTAGGACTTCAGTAGTGCTGCGAGGATCATAAAACATTAAAGAAAACCACGATAAACTTCTAAGAATACAAAAGGCATAAATAGACCTTTAAAAAAGTTCTGAAGAAATTTGCTTGGGAACTTTCATAGTGCAATTTCTTGCAGAAGCATCTGATTTTCAGAGATTTTGAAATGTTAGCACAAAGTACTGCCATGAAACTATTAAATAAATAAATAAAATAATTTTTTTAACTCTCCATGCCATGAAGTCTTTTGAGAAGGGTAGATAACGCTGTCCTGCTAAAAGTACCCTGGTGTCTGACCACCAAACATTTGTTTTGTTAGTTTGTTGAAGCTTCAGGACAAAAGTTAAGTTTGTGTTTCTTCAAAGCATCTTGCCAGATAAAGTGTATTTTATTTCAACAAAGGCACTACAGACAACACAGAAAAGTACAAAAATGATGCATGTCCTAATCTCATAGAGAACAACTCTGATAGGGCAAGACATCAAGGCAATTGGGAGGCAAACTTTTTCTCAAAGATTTATGCAACTTTACAAAAACGTTATGGTTTTACTTTTAACTTTTTGCAGGCTCGAATGCGAGTGGGGAATCGTCACCTAAATGCCATGGTGCAGAACAGTCTCAGGGTATTTTGGTTGCTTTAATACCCAGCTTGTAATAGACTATATTGGCGCAGAACAATATATGGCGGTAAGTTATGGCAAGTACTCGAAACTATCTGCTGTCATCAACAAATCCTCCCAGTACCAGCATAAGCCAAGAGATGCTTAGCGCGCTCTTCAGTATTAGTGGACGAGAATATATTATTAATACGACACTAGTGATTTCTGTCTTTTTACCGCTCCTCTCTCTGAAGGGGGGGTGCCAGGAAGGTGGCATGTGAACGAGCATGTCCCTGCGCTGTAGGAGGGAAAGCTGCCTTGCTGCTGGAACACCCCACCCCCCAGCGGGGCCCCCCCCGCGGGCAGCTCGGCTCTCCCCGGCTGCGGGGTGGGGGGGGGTCTGTCAGCGCCTCTCTCCCCGCCCCACGGGCCCGCTGGGCCAGCGGCCCACCGAGGAGGGTTGCCCCCAGCTTCCAAGCGGGACGGCGGGTGGCACAAACGTCGAGAGGCACCTTCGCCGTGTCCTGAAGGTCAGACGCCGAACCCCTTGCCGGCTGGGAGCGGGAGGCAGCCGCACAGCCTCTCCT